AAAAAAAACTATGAACAAATTCCTATGCACACTGCACATATCTTATTTTGAAGTAAAAAAACACATGGGCCAGAAACAGCTGGTGGGCCGGATAAATGTCCCCGGGCGCCGCATGTGGCCCGCGGGCAGTAGTTTGAGGATGCCTGAGTTAGTCTCCAAAACCCACAGGGGCCATCCTACCACTGAATTGGAATCGACTCAATGGCAGTGAGCTTTGAGCGACCTGGCCCTTGTAATCACCTGAGTTTTCCATTATAGATCACAAATGCCATTCCTGTCATAGCTTCAGCATTTTGAGACTGGAGGGGTGTGGGAAACAGAAAGATTTCTCCCAAGTCGTCTTCCCCAAATATATGTTAGACTTAGGATACTGCTTGCAGCTAATGATTGTCAAGTTACCTCCCAGATGCCAGACTACAGGTAGGCCCCGCTCCCTGCTGTTAAGGACAATGGGCTACTTCTCCATAAAGGCTTGAACCAGCTTGGTTCCAGTAGGTGGTTGTACACCCGACTGATAATGGTTTCTATGGAGATCCAGAGACCAAGTCAAACCTGCTCTGTGACATCCAAAGTTACTTGTTGCCATCCTGAATCTAGGATCTGCCCTTCTTGTCACACGTGTGCCCCCAATCCCTCCTCTTCCTATTGCGAGTATGTCCCTAGGTTGTCCCCTCTCATTGCTGTATTACCTATAGTGCAACCCCTTCCTGTGACATATGTCTTTACCTGTAATTAGTGGGCTTGCACTCCCCAAAAGATGTATAGGCCTGGGTTAGCAATAAAGAGCTCTCTCTTGGTCCCCTCTTGGCCTTTCATTGGTTCCCCCACTCCTCTCCCATCCTCACTCTCCTGTTCCCTTTCCCCTTGTCCTCCTTCCCCTCCCTCTCTCTCCACATGGACCACCAAGTGAGGCTGAGGTGAGCAAGCTACCATGAAATGTGTCTGACTCCATTATTTCAATCTCTCATGCGCTCTATGACTTTACGCTAATCTTTATATTAACCGTAAAATTGCACCTATCGAACCCGCGATTAGTGGTGGGGGACTGGCACTCCTTCCCTTCACAGAGGGGATGCTTTATATTTCCTTTTTCCCCCTCTAATGTCTTTCATGTAATGTGAGGGATTTATATTCATTGATTATCTTCTGTCTTTCAAGCACAACCCCATGATAGTTTACACCTCCCAGCAACACTATGAGGTGGATACTATATGTCCATTTACAGATGAGGCCCAACACTACCCCCCCCCCCCCCCCGAGGTTTGGAGTCATACAACCAGTGAGGTATCTGGGACTGGAGATCAAGTTCACCTTCCCTACCAGGTCGATCTCACTCTTGCAATTGGGTTGTTCATCTGTGAGGGAGGCATGGCTGTTTCCAATCTGTAAAGTGGAGATGGAGCAATTCAATGCGTGTTTGGTGGCAAGTTTACTTGAGCATCCTACCTATTCCGTTGCTTGTCAATTTTACTCTGTTGAGCACACAAAGATTTGTGGGAAGATATGTTTACTTTGGGGCTTCAGAAGTGTTGGAACTCTTAATCGTGTGTTCTGCGAGAAGGCGCCCCTCCCGTTTCTATGGACGCCTGCTGTCGGCAAGGAAGGGCTCAGCGGCAAGGAGATGTTCTGCAGATGGTTGCTGAGCTGCCCTCTCCACCTGGCACTGGGCGACAGGGCAAAGAAAGCATCACTGAATGCATGGAACGGGTGCCACACTACCAGATTATTTTAAGTAACAAAATCTTATTTTTATTATTATTGTTATTTTTTTACAGAAATTCAGATATTCCAACAAATTTCTTTACATTTCTTGGACCTTAAAAAAATTACACACAACTTTTGGACACAATACAACAGAACAGAATGAGAAAGGGAGTCACTTTTTTGTTTGTTAAAAAAGATAAAAACATACTTCTCTTACGGAACATTTAGTGATTTATATGTGTATTACCTATGTACAAATGGTACATCATCAATGAGCCATCTTCAGAGCTCTGTGGAATGCTAAATTACACTTAGGTTTTGTGGCAAAAACTATGTGTGTGTGTGTGTGTGTGACATTTGCATGTGGACAGGAAGCACTTTTTCATTTTTGCTAACACCACCTTTAGTGATAGATGACTCCCTGTGGAATTTGTAAATCACTTGGATTGGAGAAAACCATTATCTTCTGTTTCTATAAGAGTAGAGAGCTACCTCCCTTTAAATAAAAGGTGAAGTTTTAAAAAGTTGTGTGTAATTAAATTTAGTAAATCGGCTGTTTTGAATGTGGTAGGAGAGCTAATACTTAAAGCAACAAATAACTCCCAGAATGACTAATTCTTTCGTTATAGATAATAAGCATTTCCTTAATTTGGCACTTTAGAAAATCCACACTTTTGAGCATTGGATTTTACTCACTGGAACCACATGGGTGATGCTCGTTGAACCACTTGAAACAGAAACCAGCTCATGGTGGAAAAGGTGGCCGGTACAGATGTAGTCGGTTAAAGTGGGGGCATGGGCGTAGCAGACAGAGGCTAGGAGAAATCAGCCGTGCTCTGTACCACTCACTTCCTGTAGGATCCTATGTCTTACGCTTCAGAGATATATGCTAATTTGACCTTAATCTAGAATGAAGATGTTCTATCTGCCCGTGGCTTCTGCTCAGGCTTAGGACATGGCTGGGTTTACACTGAGGATCTCTACAGGTACATTTTTGTTTTTTTTACCTTGTTTTCCTTTTTTAAAACTAATGACTACTTCAATACTAAAATATCTATCCTGCTGTTGGATTTGGGCAGGAGATGCACAGACAAGATGGTGAGGGAAGCCTGGTAGCAAAGACATTGCCGGAGACAGTTGGTTAGTTTTAAGTACCGCCAAAAGCCAAACAACTAAAAGCACGTGTTTCTGAAGCCAACATTAGCAGACAAAAAGGCAACTCACTCCTACCAAGTTTCTTTGACCTGTATAAGTATATATTCATTTATTTCTAAGGCTATGAAAGTATTATTTATTTGTTAGTGTCACTTACTATCGCTTAGAAATAGAACGGATGGAATGGGTTTTAGTTATTTATTCTTGGAACAAAAATGAGTAAATGTCAGCAGGGGAATCAAAGACAGGGATTTCTGATGACATGTATGGCAAAGAAATAGGAAAAAATCAGATATTTTAGGTATCTATTTATAAAGTATATTAAATTCCTATGCATATACTAGGGAGTATTAGAACAAGGTGTGTATTTGATAGCAGCCCATATATTACATGTGAGCAGCCAAGGTGAAAATGAGCTTTCTATAGTTTCCAGAATTCCTTGATGCTGTTTCATGAAAGATAGGGAAATCTATATTGCTTGGGAACCTATGATGTCAAGATGTACCTCCTGTAATATACAGCTTAATGGGGTGACCATCTATGCCAGAAACATGTTCTCAGGAATAACTTGTACGAACAGATTAAACTGAACACAGGTGCAGTGGAAAGCTGACAGCTTCACATCCCGTAGTAACTGAGGTTTGAACTAATGACAGTGAAGTAAATGAACAGCAGAGATGGAGAATCTGAAGTCACGTCTCCTTTGAAAACATTCAGAGGCATTTCCTAAGACACATCCTCAATGAAGATGCTTGATCAACCTCTTGGCTACTGAGCTAGGAAGAATTTAGAACTGACTGCCTTTTTTCTTTTTGAATTTTGAAAGATTAAAGCTTGTTGTTTCCATTTAATTAAAAAAAAGTTTACAAACGTCAGCACAGATAGATTTTACACGTTAATTCTAGCACGTTTTTATTTCTCTTCCTTTAAAGTATTTCCTGAATGTGGCTTCTCATGAATGTTTTCCTCTTCCATGACAGATTCCGATGAGCTGGGGATCAGTCCAAGGTCACACTGCTTTGCAGAAATCACTCTCATCTCTGCCGGTCTACATCGAGGAGGCGCGTTGACAGGTGGATGCTGAACTCTGGTCTGTACTCGTCTCGTTAAGCTGATCTCTCCCAAGCATCTTCCATCTTGATGTTGATGTACAAAAGCTGTTATTCGAGTTGCTTAGCTGTTGTTCGATTGGTTTTGTGCTCATTCTAGAGAATATTGGCTTAGCAGAACTGCAGAAAGGGTGGGGCAGGGTGCAGTGAGGAATGGAGGGAGGGAGGGAGGAGAGAAAGGAGGAAGGGGGAGAGAGAAGAAGAAAGAGGAAATATATTACTTTCTGTTAGCAAGATTCTTGCAGGGAAAATTTATCACAAAAAAAACCACATCAACAAATGGTAAAACGCACTTCAGACTTGTTACTAAAGTAGATTGAAAAGTCTGGGGATTCTGTTCCATTTACACACACAGCATGGTCATCCCAGGAAGGGGGCCATGCTATAATCTAGATATGCATTTTCTCCACCAGGGTCAGGATTACAGGCTCCTTTGAAGAATGCAGAATGATCTCAAGCGGTGCTCATTTTTTCCTGTCTGGCGGGGAATTTCCTCACTTGAGAGATTGCCTTCCATTGCAGATTTTTATTGAGTTACTATATAACCAGAGTATGACAGCGATGAAAGAAATGGTTATAAAGATGAATCACCTACAATCCTTCATCTGGGGTCACCATTTTCCCTCCACTCTCCCAGTCCTTACCTAAGTGCACTTATATTACATTGTATCACAGTACAGATAACATGTTTGTATTGTATCCAAAGCAATGTTTTATGTCTTCACTGTCTACATAATCAGCATCCCATTCTAATGGTGGAATAACATTCCTGTGCACCATCCTCATTCCATTCTCATGATTTCATCTTCAGCTATTTGACTTGTCAGATACGAAGGTAGGTTCCTGATTTCTGAAAGCATAAATAAGGAACATCTTTGCATGAAAAGACCTATTTAAAAAATTCATTTCTGC